GGATGGATGGATGGATGGATGGATGGATGGATGGATGGATGGATGGATGGATGGATGGATGGTCTGACTTACACTCCAGGTGTTTCTTCTTGGGGGCGGTCTGTTCGTGTGTGGTGGCCTTACACACGGCCCGGGACACCTCGGATCCCGTCAGGCTGTACTGAGCCGCCGCGATGCGGTCCGTCAGGGTCTGTCCCGACATCTTCAGTCCTGCAGATCCAACCACGCGTCCAGTAAGGTCCAACTATACCGCTCCACACGCGCTCCCAGCAGCCCTACGACCCCCCCGCCAACCCTGGAACACAAACAGTGCGCGCTTTAAGGACTGAAATAAGGCTGATTGCATAACAAACCGGGCTCCTCGGTCAGTTCTGTTGGATACACATGTCCTGAAGGCCCCTCACTCCGGCCTGTGTGCGTCCAGGTGTCCTCAATGAGCAGAAAAATAAGAAAATCATCCAGCAGCAGCTCCTGTTTCTGCTCCTTATTTCGGATGTATTCAGCAGCCTCCTCCTCCTCTCCGGATGATGCTGCCTCCTCCTCCTCCTGGATAATCCTCACATCCACCAGCAGCAGTCTGTGTATCAGCGGGGCGTCATCACCATCATCATCATCATCACCATCATCATCACTCTCCTCCCATCATCCAGCGCGGCCCTGGTGAAACGCGCAGCACACACCGGAGCGTTAGATGATCTGTATATTTATTATTTATTAACTTATTTATAAGGTATTCTCACGCCCTGCCCCCTCCTCCTCCGAGTCAGATGACGCTGCTGCGCCTGTTATCGCGAGATTTGAGGAGAGAACAGGAGGCTCTGCTCTGCTGCAGCAGAGCTTCATGAAGGTCACATGAAGCCTGCAGCTTATGAGGGTTACAAATAAATAAACAAACGCTGTGTCTTCACGAATAAAGCAGCCTCTTCATGACTCTGTTAGTCTGTTCGTTGATCTGATTTTCTAACCTATAAAAACTGATGAGCTTAAAAAGAGCTGTGCTGGCAGAGAAGTGCTGGGCTGATGTGARGACGTGTGTGAGGGGAACAGGACAGCGGTGAAGCCGGCTGTGCTGCAGGCCTGTGATTTAGAGACAGAGACAAAAAGACGAGACAGATCTGATAGTGTCATAGCTGAAGATGCTGAGGATAAGATTAGGGCTGAGATCATCAGAGGTGGGCCTGCACTGGACTGAAAGAGAAGCTAGCTCAGAGGAGGGACAGTGGGTATATTGGTAGAAGGATGTTACAGATGAAGGAAAAAGACAAAGAGGACATACAAGGACGCGTTTAAGAGGACATGGATGTAGATGGAGTGAGGATAGACATCATTATGGCCACCCCTGCAGGTCAAACAGCTGACAGAAGATGTAGGACTTCATCAGTTTCACATTTTAAATTATTTTTAGTTATTTAAATCCTTTAGAATTACTTTTGTTGTAATATTTTGCTGAAATTATTTTGTTAGTATTTTTTGTTGCCTTACTCTACTTGTGAGGATTAAGAAAAACTAAGAAACCCATAAATACTATTTGGGCTGGTACTGGACCAGCATGTAATAGGCTGGGCATGTTCTTTTTTTTACCATAGGATTAAAAACATAGGCTAAGTCATAATGTTTAGATCTTAAAACAACAACACACTTTTACTATTTGGCCTTTAACCTGGTGTGAGATGACTTTAATCTTATTATTCTTAAAACATGTTTTTATTCATTTCAATAGTTCCTTATGTTTACTTTAGATTTATGTATTTTTTATGTTTGTTTTGTTGAGCTGCCTTATTGCTTCAAATTACGACTTAGACATTTCATAGAGATACAAGTCTGACCGCTGCACAAAGCCTTCTCCAGCACATCCCAAAGATTCTCAATGGAGTCTCCCTGAACCACTCTTTCACAATAAGAGCCCCATGAATTCTGACATTGTCATCTTGGAATATGGCCGTGCCATCAGGGAACAATCCATTGATGGAATAACCTGGTCATTCAGTATATTCAGGTAGTCAGCTGACCTCATTCTTTGAGCTCAGACTTGCTGAACCTAGACCTGAACACCTGTAGCAACCCCCACATCATAGCACTGCCCCCACAGGCTTGTACAGTAGGCACTATGATGGCTGCATCACTTCACCTGCCTCTCTTCTTACCCTGATGCCTCCATCACTCTGGAACAGTCAGTCTGGACTCCTCAGACCACAGGACCTCCTTCCATTGCTCCGGAGTTCAATCTTAATGCCCCCTGGCAAATTGAAGCCTCACTGATAGTTTTAAGGCTTCACAGCTGTTTGTTCCCAATCCCTTGAGTTCCCTTCACATTGTGTGTGGAAATGCTCTTACTTTCTCTGTTAAACATAGCCCTGAGTTCTGCTGTTATTCTTCTTTGATTTTACCAAATGTTTGAGATCACCTATCACGATCATTCAGGACTTTTTTCCAGATGCATTTCTTCTTCAAAGATGATGGGTCCCTGCTTTTCTTCCAGTTTTTAATGAGATGGACAGTTCTTAACCCAGTTTTCATAGTTTCTGCAATCTTCTTAGAGGTTTTCTCTGCTTGAAGCCAATGATTTGAACCTTCTCAAGCAGACTGACACCTTTTCCACGACCACAGGATGTGTCTTTCCACATGGTTGTTTAAGAAATGAGAAGCAACTCATTGCACCAGTTGGGGTTAAATAACATTGCAGCTGAAAGAAAATCGTTCATGCAGTAATTATCCAATAAGAGGCCCATACCTCCATGCATGCAACTTTTTGTTTTGGGCAGGCAGTGTAACTTAGCAGCTTTAAGACCTAATATGATTATCATGAGATGCTTAGAGTATCAGGATCTCTCAGATTTATCTTTTTTTTTTTCCATCAGAGTTGCAGAACTGGGTTTCTCTAAAGTAATAGAAATAGTGCACTTTGTTTTGTTTGACAGTTATTGGTTAGTTACAAACAGAAAAGTATGTACTGCAGTATAGCCCAAAACATAAATTAATGCAGTATAATAAAAAAGATCCTTCTCAAATACAGTACTGTATATCAACATAAAGTATGGTAATTGTGTAAAAAAATGTTTTAACTTCGATTTAAACACTAATCTATTTTACCCTGGAAGAAAATATAGTTCTATATTTAGTTCTTTTTTGAAGCAAAGCTTTTCACTTGCTTTAGCAAAAGTTGTAATCTTTATGTTCATGTTCTGGTGATACACGTGCTTCATTTTAAAGGTTTCGTCTCATCTGTAGTGTTCCATGTTAACAAAAACTCCACAGACTCCACTCATTTATTTATTTATATGAAACCTGTTATCTGTAACGTCATATTTCTGTTAGAATAAAAAGTGGTGACAAAGTGAAATCATTTCACTTCATGTCTTGAGGACAGCAGGAAACTTGTACGTCTGTCATAAGAAATCGGTTTTATTAAGTCACACGACACTGGATGGCACAGCAAAGGAACCACAGGAAATGTTAAAACCCAGCAAAGCTGATCCATATATACAAATAATTAAAATTAAATACAGTAGCTTTTGAAAAGTGAAATAATCAATATAAATACAAAAATTTTTACAAATGTATCCCCCCCATTGTTCTCAAATATACAAGTTGAGGTTTTTCACGAGTGGTCAGTTAATGCTCGGCTCTCACGTCTTGATGAGGCCCTCCAGAAAGTCTTTCTCCACCATCTCCTCAATGTTCTGCCGCGCTCGACTCCAGAAGACCTTCTGGCTCTCCAGTTTGTGGCCGTCCTTGTGGCCGGGGAAGGAGGGGTCTGTGGGGCTGAGGGAGTAGGCCACGCCTGACCGGCAGCTGGCCTTACTGTTGAACACCTGACTGAGCAGGTTGAAGAAGGGCAGCAGCTGCTCCATGCTGCGGATCACGTAGAGGGTCAGCATCAGGTGACCCGGCTCCCAGGACAGGGTCCGAGTGGAGCAGTCCTCCTCTGGGTTTTTCTGTAAGAACAGACAGAACATAGAACATAAGGCTCGTGTGGCAGGAAGAGATATGGGGAACTTCCCTTCTCTCGGTCAGTCACAGAGCAGGAGGGATACCTTGGCTCGTTTCCTCAGCAGCTTCACCAGACGAACCACGTAAGGCTTAAACTCCCTCTGATGTGTCCCCTGACGTCTCACCTCCAACCCTGAATCATCCGACGCCTCAGGAATGAAGGCCCAGCGGTACCTGAAATGATACAACACTGAGTTTTCTTCCAAATCTTAAGCCCTGACACTGAGTGTCTGTCCCCAAGCCTACTGTGACCCAGGTTTATCTGCACTGACATCTGGAACTGAGGCAGGCTCTCAGGAGGCAGGGCCAGGGCCAGATCCAGGAACTTGCATGCAGAGAGGTAGAGGTTGAGCCAGCGCTGGCTGTTGTAGGAGGTGGAGAAGCCGTTCCCTCCTGAGTAGGTAGTCTCCAAGCCAGCGACCGACGGCCCTGATGTCCTGAAGTTGATCAAGTGAGAAAAAAAAATCATGAAGGAGAAGGAGAGCTGCGAACAAACTCCGTTTACTGCTRCGAGCCACACTGTAGTGCACCTTGTTATGTCCTCATCTGCCATTAGCTCCTGCTCCATCAGCAGAAACACCTGAACCTGTGGYGAAAACACACGAGAATAAGTGTGCGAAGAGTTTAAAACCAGGAAACACGGCTCTGCGCAGCATCTAGTGCTCACCAGCTCAGTGATCATAGTGGGCCAAAGTGACGTGAGGTGTTGAGGTGACATACGCAAGAGCAGAACTCGGAAGAAAAGAAACACCTGAGCGTGAAGGATGGGCACCTGAGGCAGACGCAGGCTCTCCACCAGACGCTCTGAACACACAGACACACACCTGCTTCAGCACCACGGATAACGCCAATGATTATTCCTGAATCTGACCTGATGACAAGTGTGTGTTCAGCTGTTTACCTTGTATGTCTGGCAGGTACTTCTGGTACTGGTCCACTTCGCTGCTGTAGATGGTGAAGGCCAGACGTTTGAGCAGCATGGCCCTCTGCTCCAGCTCAGCGTCTCGGTTGGTGAACAGACTCAGAGAGCTGCTCTGAGCAACGGCAACACGAGCTGCAAGAAACACACACAGTCATTAACACTCAGCTTACATCACATGTGCTTCCTGTTTTCATTCTGCCTGAAGGAAAAGATYTAAACTGATCAAGGAAACAGAGAGTGGCGATGACACATGTGACAAATTAAAGAGAAGTGGAGCTTACTCATCAGGTCTCTGAATGTGGTCTTGTCGTGAGTCATCAGGTGGTCAATGATTGCTCTCCAGCTAGAAAAATCAGAGAAAAGGAAAAAGACCAATTTAACGACAGGTTTGGTATTTAGCATGACCCACAGCTAAACTAATTTAAAACATTTTAACTTTTAGAAATGCTTTTCTGAGGCCAAGGCAGTCCATTACTGAGATCTGTTGTGTGGTCTTTGACTTTTGATCCAGTCATTTTGTAGGTTTTATTTGTTGAGTATSAAAAATAAATTTGAATTTGAATCATAACCTTAAAATTGTCCTCCGTCTCTTTAAGAACCTCCTACTGTTTCTGATATTGCCACTTCAGCACATTTTCACAACAATGCTTCGGGGGAGGGGTGCTCTGTGGGGCGACTTCCTTATCAAAGTCTTCACTCTCATCTGTCTCAGATTTTCTGAATCAGTTTTTCTGAGTCGTCTTTGCCTCTTTTGTCTGACATGGTTATGATTCCATGGGACTGCCTGTCTTTTCAGCTGCCTCCAGCCTCATGCGATTGAAATCTTGGTGGTCCTGCCTGTTTGGATCCCTGTCATGTCACACCTCATATTTGGAAGTGAAGGGGCTTTTTCTAAAGCTGAGTCTAAAACAGCATGAAATCCTACAAATATCTTTAAAACCAGTTTGTGTTACTTTCGGCGCTTGCCACAGAACATTGTTATTGTTGTTAATCATATTTCATTGGATATGTAATATAAAAAATAGTGTGTTAGACTTTAATAATAACTTTAAAAATAAACATGAGCTGAAGATGTGCTCCACACAAACAGAGAGAAGATACAGACATAAAAAAGTATGAATTTGTTTTTCCTTCACAGCAGTGGTGGATCCAGGATTTTTCTGAGTAAGGGRCCATCGAGGGGCCACAATATTCATAGAGGGTCCAAGTATTTGTTCAGCATCCTTGCATTCAAATCCCTGGTTTTGGTAAGGTTTATACATTTTAACAGCCATATGTTCAAACACTTGTAATGTAATGTCATCAAAAAAAGCTTGAACAGTAAATTATTCTTAGCAATTTTACATGTATTTTTACTGTACATAGATAAAATGCTCTCAAATGCATAACATATGAGAAAATGCAGCCATCATTTGAAGGACTTTTTTTGCAAGATTGTTCAGAAGAGAAGACTTCTGTAAGATTGATTCATGCTGGACTTTCCTATTTGACTCATTAGCGCCTCTAGTGTCTGGACATGGAACTGCACACACCATCACCAATCTCGGGCAAAGGACAGATGAGTGACAGGACAGGGGCACTTCAGGGGTCCAATCAGATTTCAGCTGGGGCCAATGCCCCTGCGGCCCCSCACCTAGAACCACCCCAGCTTCACAGCCCTTGTTTTGAGTATTTTTAGCCATGGTGATGAACTGAATCACTGACGTGATGATGTTTCTTCTCTGACTCACTGGCTCACACAGGAGGCGTCCATCTGGAAGAAGGTGTGATCCATGAAGAGGTCGAAGGCCTCCTTTTTCCAGGCCCGGCGAGTGTATTGGTACCCACTTAAACTGCTCAACAGCTGGATGCAGGCCCGGTAGCTGGGAGCATTGTGTGCACTGTCAGGAGAAACAAGAAAAGATACACTTTCATCAGAAAACCGCTGTCTTTACAAAGTGAAATCATTCTACACTTTTGTTACGTAAAGATTTTTCCCCACCTGTGGTTGCGGAGGTAGGGCACAACATAATGCATGATATTAATCAGCAGAGGGATGACTTTCTCCTTCTCATCGCTGTAAAACACCATGTCCAACAGGTGAGCCAGCACCTGCCAAACAAACAGAGTTGAAGGAATCACAACACCTTTTCACAAAACAGTTCACAAGCTGCAGAGAAGCATCGTTTTGGTATAGTGCTTTGCATAAATTTCTGAATTTATAAGTTGCAATTTAGACAAAACATAAGCAACATCTGGATCGATAAAGTCACACTGAGCTGAACTCTGTCCACTTCCTCCACAGCACAAAACACCCCCAGCAAATGGATTTACTGGTTTAGTAATAATGACTGAGGAGGAGGAGGAGAGCGGGCTGTAAATCAAACAGAACAAGTTCAGCTGGTGTGTGTTAGTGTACAGGATGACAGACCCAAACAGCACCAGTTAAGCAGTGCCAGAACCAGGGTTCAGAGCTGCTGAGTGAAGGGTCAGAAATGCTCTGGTGTTTACCTCGGCCAACAGCGTGAGAGCGTGAACGCTGTACACAGATGGAGTGAAGCTGGAGGCCTCCATCACTGTGAGCATTAAATCTACAAAACACACACACACACACACACAAACGTACGTTAGCAGCTTCTACAGAGCTAATCGTGACCATGACAAACTTCAAGCAGGTTAATTTCAAACTTGTAGATCAAGAAGATATTGATCTTCTTGATCTACACCCAGTTTGGGTCCAGTTATCAAACTGGAACCCAACAGGCGCATGTTGCTTAAGTGCAACTAGAACAAGGAAGTCGGCTGTTTATCTGATGCATTTAGGGGAAAATGTCTTCTCTCACCTTCTACATCAGCTTCCAGGTTGCTGCCATCCACAAGGATCTGTGGAGACGCCTTCACCTCCAGGTTTCTCCTCAGCCACGTGGTTTGCTCTAAAGAGGAGCCGGCTATCGTGCCGATGGCCTCCACCACTTTGTGAGTGACATCCTGAACACAGATGACATGTCTCAACAGGATCCTCTCCCTGACAACCATTTTATCAGTTTTACTGGAGAAGATTTTAAAAAGCAATCTTTGTGATGTTGTTTTTAGCTGAGCTATGATCTATAACTGATTCAAAACCTCATTTAGTTCCACACCACTGCCGCGCCATTTTTGGAAACTAAGAGTTTAACAAGTCAAACTCAAACTAGCAGCAGTAATTACCTGCAGCTCTCGCTGGTCCTTCTTACTTTCCAGATTGGGATTCTTCAAAATGAACTCATTCAAAACTCTAATAAACAGAAACCCAGAAAGAGTCATGTTAAATAAACATGAGCTGAAGATGAGCTCCACACAAACAGAGAGAAACATCATTACAGACAGGCTGACAGGTTTAAAGGTGTAATTATGCTTGTGAGTCCAAAGATGGTATGAGTGAAAACAACCAACAAATCATAATTTTGATGCTTTATCTGCTTGTTTACATTAAATTAAACAAAAAACAAGTATGTTGTCTGAGGGAGAGAAAACTGGCTGTTGGTCTGGATAAAATATTGTAGTGGTTCTGTCAGAAAACAAAACTTGAAGATGCTTTTTTTAATGTATTTTTTTCTTTGTGAACACAAATAAGATATTTATTACTGTATGTAGGAAGACATTAATTTATTCAGTGCAATTTGATGTGTGCCAGCTTCAAATGGAAACAACTGGGATGTAATTGTTCCGGTTCAGATCTGATCAATAGTTTCTCTCCAGTAATGTGCATTAGGAGTGTGCGATATGGCAAAAAATTCATATCACGATATACATTATGATGGGTGGCGGTAACGATATATATCACGATATAAAACTTATAATAAAAAAATAAATAAATCACATATTCATTGAGTGAAATGTATATATAT